TGAACTTTAATTTTAATTCCTCATTTGTAGTTATTTCTATTAATTCTTCTTATTTTACAGAACCTATGATTTCTGTATTTAAAAATGGATCTAAAACCCATTTGGGTATGTCCATTTTAAGAATACCACCCCCTTTTTGTAATGAAATAACCCCCAATTAGCTTGTAACTTTCATTGCCCTCCTGGATAGCTCTAGCGCCCCCAAGGGGCGATATCGCCCACTTTGGGAAACGCTGCATTAGAGTATCGTAACTATTTTATAGACTCACCAGAGAGCTTGTTACTTTTTTTTAAAATAATTTTTATAATTATTATATTTGTTAGTACTAGCATTGATTTTAGAATTTACTCACTAGAATATATTTTAAAACTAATTATGCTAGATATTTGGTATTCATTGAAATATTTAAAAAAAAAAAAAAAAATAAGAAATGTTATTTGTCTATATTACATAGTTTATTATTATTCACATATCAACCATTTCTACAATTAAATATTTAATTAGTGTTAAATAAATATTATTATAAAAAAATTCAAGGTCGTAGTAAAAATAAATTTAATTTGGTAACCTTTATTCATTAATAATCCTAGGGATAATATCAGTCTTGAAGGGTTTTAGGTAGAAATGAAGTAGTATATTATATTAATATAATACAATATAATTTAAATAATATTATATATTGAATTAGGTGGAGTATCGACTAATATTTGTTACTCGGAAAGACGAGAAAGGTGTCTGTTGAAGATGTAAGCAATTATTGTACAATAAATACACATAGTATGTGACAATAGTTCGAATTAATTTTGTTATTTAATTTATGAGGTATTTATAACTAAGAATTAAAAATTTCATCCAGAATTCTTAATTAATATACTTTAAGACTCATGAGTTTTTGAGTTATGATTATATTTTAGAATATCCAAAATTATTGAATTCATAACTAAATAATTGAAAACAGTTAAGTAGCATATTACCTGATATTTTTTTTCAAATAGACCTATGGTTACAGTTACTTTTCATTGATAAGTTTAATGAGAATAGTAAAGTCTAAATTAAATTAGAAATTATGCTTTGTAGAATTTGATGAAAATCCGTCATTACTCATTAGTTCAAAATACCATAACAAATAATCTTTATCAGTATCTTTTTAAAGTATAATGGTTTAACAATATATCTGAATATAATGAAGGATTATCATACTAATGTTTTAATTTTGAATTTTGATAGAACAGAAGTAGAATTAAATAAATTAAATTCTGTAACATACAAATATATTTAAACAAACATATACACATATAGGGAGGGGACTTCCCTATTAGACGGAATACTCCCATTTTTTTACATACTTGTGCCGCGTCCTGCTTTAATTCTTAGCGGGACGCATATATCATTTTTTTATAAGTTTTTTAAATTTTTGTCCCGTGTTCTTCCGTCTAATAAGTTAAGTGTTATGAGTCTTGCTAATTATTTTACTTTGTTCAAGATACCTTCTTACTCTATAATTTTTTTGTTGTTTTTTTAGTGTCCTAAATCCCGAATATTTTTTTACAATATTATATTTTAAAAAGTTATGTGTTCCGAGAGTTAAAAAAAATCCCAACCCTATACTCATATTAGTATATTTTATGATTATTAATATTAATAAGTAAGAATTGCTATTCTTATTATGAAAAATATTTATTCTTAATTACTGTAATGCGTTAAGTATTAACAAAAATATAATTTACAAAATATTTTAATGGATTTTTACTAATCGATGGTTAGATTATAGAAGGAAAACTTCATTGTAAAATATACGTATTATTTATTTCGTTTGATATATAAAATTTATTGTATAGTTACAAAAAAATCTGTGTCCAATTTTTGACAATAGTGGTGTTGTTACTTCAAATATTAAAAACTTTATGCTGTTCAAATATGTGTTTCTTTGAGTGAGTATTGTCCAGAATCTAAAAATTATTAGATATACCATATAAATATTTAATTTTAAATTATTGTGTTTAACCAATTTTTTTTTTTAATCCAAAGCTTCATTACTTATATATTTCAATTTTTCTACATTTCAAATCTATTAAATTATATGATTTATTAAAATTTATAATATTTATTTTTTTGTTTAGACAAATGTTAAAATAATAAGAATATTTTAATAAATCGAATGTGTTATTTCATGTTCCAAGTTATTACATAATTTTTCAATATCAGCGATTTATAATAACAACTGTTTCTTTTTCACAACAGTGCAATCAATAATGAATGAATGGAATGTGGAAGTCAGAACCTAGATTCAGACGATTATATTTTTAAGCTTTTTGTTTCTTTGAATGTAATGGTTGAGTAGTTGCGCCAATTTTTTTACCCGATACGAAATTTACAAATATATTATTTAGTTTTTTAATTATATTTTCTGATTATTTTAAAAATATAAACCACGAATATTATTATTGTGTATAATGACACTTTTGATAGGAGGTTAAGTTACTGATATTGTATTCATGCGATTGACATAAAATGTATTTACGCGTAGTATAGATTGAACGAAATTTGTTTTAGCCAGATCAGTCTCATAAAGGGTGAAATGTGTTGTGGTTTCGAGTGTAACAATATGAATTTCTAAGGTCGAACACGCGGTACACAGTATTGATAATTTTAATGAACGACTCGCGAACACGTAATCTCGAATAATAAAAGTCTGTGTGGAATTCATCGCACTTGGTCCCGTTGTCTGTACGTGATTAATTAATTAAAAAGATGAAAACGAAACGACGCGACGTCGACGACGTCTGGTGCCGGTGGAACGTGCGCTGCGGGCGGCAGGCTCTCGTGCGTCTCGTTTGCCGTTGTGGTACCTATACCAATAGTAGAAGCAGCGTCCGACATCTGGTCTGTATGTATATGTATACAAGCTACGACACGCATAAAATACTACGATATAAATTACGCAAAAGGCATTGTTTTCTTGTAAAATAAAAAATAAACCTGTATGACTACTGCCGAATACCTAGAACCAATACGAATAATAATAACTTTGACCGATGCACTTGTTACACATGTTATTATGTTATGTTTTCGCAAGTTACGAATGATGGTTTGTTAACCTCCAACGCAACGATGATATTATTTGTTCTAAATTGAATGCCTGGCTGTAGTAGATAAAAATAAATATCAGGATAATTTTTATCGGTCTGCGATCGAGACCAAAATTCATTATTATATGTACGTAGATTTTTCTTCTCTAAATGTTAAGATGTAGACTGAGGCAAATAAAAATATGAGCGAATGATTTATTCATAATATATTCAGAAAGATGTTTCTATACATTTGCCTACGTAAATACTTATTATATTTTTAATTTTTTTACTGTTCTGTTAATTGTTTAAATTATTTGAGTTTATAAAATGTATCTTAATGATTTATATGATTAATATATATTCCTAGTACTTAAGATATTCAGTGTTAAACTTATTATTTTTATAAAACAAGCTGTTTTTACTGTAAAGTTTATGAATTATAATGTGGCTAGTCTCAATTTTATTATGAAATGATCAAAATAATATATTAAAACTTAAAATTTTAACAGACCAAAAACCCAGGAACTGTGCTATCAAAACGGAAGAAGGGGTATTTATCACCATTATATAATATATATCATAGTATATTTCTCGATTCTATCCATAAATATGTTTACTGATATTCATTACTGTAAAATGTGCATTGATAAAGAATACATCTGAGAAAGATTGTGTGAGTTACTAATGCTTCACCTTCACCATAATCTCAATTTATTATAGATATATTATATATCATACAAGTATTCTTTCATTTTTATGTAACTAATATTATGAAAATAAGAAGGTAAAAATCAGTAGATATAATAAAATACGTCATTATATTCGATTCCAATAGTTAAATTTATGTACCAGTATTTTGTTAATTGTATAATTTTGTTATAAGCATAATACAATTTTATTATTTGAATATTCGATTATTCGTTCTGATTACAGATATTTTAATTTGATTATATATATTTTTTTATTTATTAAATTGTTCTTGTTTTTAAATAAACCCTCCTGAAATTGTTTATAACTATATTTTTTAGCACACAAATAAACAAAAAGTTTATTTTTTAAGTATTAGTAATTATGATCAATATTAACAGTAAGTATGGAAGTATTTCGTGTAAAATTAATGGTTATGATAATTGTGTTATCTCCTTATAAATACATATAACAATTAAGTATTTAAATTAATATTTTTTAACATTTATTTTATCTGTTTTGTTTAAATTATTTTAAAGCATTATAAAAGTTTAATTTAAATCCTATGTGTGTATACTTTATACATATAATTTAGTCATTGAACTGATTAAATATAAATAACGTTTCACATAGATTGTTATGATTTTATTTTTATGGTAATTGGTATTTTATTTTAGTTTTAAAGAAAGACATAAACAAAAATCATGAATAATAACCATAATAGGGTTATGTTCATTATATTGGTGTATTTCGTTGTTGCTCTTGATCACGATTTTATGATGATGAAAACGAAGTATAATTTGTATACAGACGATGCAATGCATATTTAAAGTTCAGTCCACTTTAATTTGAATAGTGGTTTCAATAGGACAATAGCCACGAAGTGTATATTTTCATCTTGAGTTTTACATAGCATTTTATTTTTTTTATTGTTGTTATCCAATTCAGTATTTCAACAGTATTCAGAATGTTGAATAAGTTCAATTCGTAAGTTAAAAAAATATTACCTTCGAATTAAATTCAGAATTGTTTTGTTTTTTACTTGTAAAATTTCGTATGTAAATACAAATGGGTTGAACAAAGTAAAAATTACGCAAAAGAGAGGTTATACATTTTCTATTTTGTGTCTGAAAAACATAAATTGTTTTACTTGAAGATTGTTGAAAACAAGTATCAAAAGTTTATTGAATAATTTTTTATTTTGTACATTAATTTAGTATATTTTTATTTTATATTTAAAGGTGAACCATGGATAGTGTTCGAGCTCTGGAGGTAATGGGTCTCCTTCAGGAGAAAATAGCTTTCCTTACTGGTGGTCGAGATAAACGAGGGGCACCTGTAGTTACGTTTCCTTCTACACCTCGAAGAGAACGAGCTAAACTTGAAGATTATCGACGACTATTACAATACTTTGGTTCCATCCCTCCGTAAGAATGTTTTCTTTTGTATTTATTATGAAAATATAATTTCATTGGTTACGTATATCATTCTGTTTTATTTGAAAGATAATTTTGAATATTATTCAATTTTACTTGATATTAATATAATGTTAGTTCATGATTATGATGGTACATTGTGTCCCAATATTATAAGTTCTTACTTGTATATTTGTATCTTAAACAAATTAATTGTTAAATTTGAAATTAATTATATGTATATTTTCATCTGATAATTGGGTGGAATTTTAATTTTTAAATAAATGAAGAATTATCATACAAATTTATGCTAAGAAATGAATTCTTAAACAAAAATATATTAATTATATATTTTTGTTTAAAAATTTTTGAACTAAGAACTATTTGTCTCTCTTATCAGTGTTTTTGATGAATTATGAAGCCATTTAAGGATTCTAAAAATTTCATTAAATTCAGAATGAAGCTAAGTTAACTTAAGTTAACTACTCAATTTTTTTTAAAAAAAGTTTTCCAATTTACAAATATTTAATATTAATACTTAAAAGTCATGAAAATTAAATTTATTAGTTAATAAATAAAAATAATCTTTATCTAAAATTGTAGTTTTTCTGTAATTTTCGAGTTCAATTAGCACCATATTTATATTAGTCAAATTTTCACTTTAAAATAATAAAAATTAGTCTAATAGCAAAAGTAATGTCACTAACATGATTTATGAGATTTAAGTTATTAGAATAATTTATAAATATGATATACTTATTCTTTTGCTATTTTTAATAATAATTTATTATTTACAAGATTGCTCAGTGTATAATAATTGAGTAATTGCTTAAACAAAATATGTTTAAATTCGTCTCTGTAATTTGGAAGTTGTAATCTCTAAAGTTGCCTTAATGTTTGGATATAGTTTTTTTTTTTTGATAAATATGAATGTATTAATAAAATAACTGAGAGAAAATGATCATATACTTTTAATCACTTTTATCTAATTATTAATTTTTATATATGTTATAATTAATAATAATTAATAATAAATATAATTAATTAGTAATTAATTTCTATTAATGTATTTTATGTTAAAATATATAATATTCTTATAATATGCTGAAGAGTTTTATATGTTGTGGACCATTTTTCTACAATATTAAATATTTTTTTTAGAATCATCTTTGTTTATAATATAGATTTGCATATTTCTTTCAACCTTAAAAGTATTGAACTACATTTTCTGTATTTCTATTTAATTTTGTGTGAATTTTAATGTTTGCATTTAATTTCTAGATGTGAAGCTAAAGAATCAGGTTTAGTAGCTGTGATTGACATGCGTGGTGGTTCTGGATGGTCATCTGTCAAACCAATCTTGAAAGCCCTCCAAGATTGGTGTGCTGGAGGCAACGGAAATCACGTGTATGCTGTATATGTTGTAAAACCTGACAATTTTTGGCATAAACAACGAACCAGCATGGCTAGTCATAAATATAAATTTGAAGTAATAGTTGGTGATTTTATGTATACATTTTTTTAACTAATGAAATGTATTTTTTTTTTTTTAGACAACGATGGTAAATTTAGAAGGATTATCTAAATATATAGATTCAACTCAGTTAACATCAGATCTAGATGGATCTCTACATTATGATCATGCTCAATGGATTGATATTCGGCTTGTGAGTATTTATCAATTTAACAATTGTTTAGTTATATTTTATATTAATTTCTATCTGATATTTTTTTTAGAGTATCGAAGAATTTATGTGGCAAGCAGCTGATTTATTAGATCGGTTGGACGATTTACAAGAAGACTTGAGTCGTAATGACTGTAGAGATGATATTGCCGGAGCCAAACTTGCCCTAGACTTTCATACCGATATGAAAAAGAAAGTACTAAAGACTCCAGTAGAAGATATGGATTTAGCTGGGCAACAACTCTTACAGAGGTAATTTTTTTTTTAAATACTAAATACACACCTAAATTTGTTAACTTAATCATTACATTTTAGGTTATCTGGAGACAATAGTAGTGGTTATGATTCAGGTTATTCTGGAAGAGATAGTGAAGCTAGTAATGGAATTAGTAATCCAGATTTACAAGCTTCTGTTCCACAAATACTACAGCAATTGGATACCATTAGAACATCCCACAAACATGTTTTGCAGCTGTGGCAGCATAAAAAGTTAAAGTTAGATCAATGTTTTCAATTAAGACTTTTTGAACAAGATTGTGAAAAGGTATTATTTTGTGTATTGTAATATTTCTGCGCATTATGTTCTATACATTATGTATTTTATATGATAATTTAATAATCTATTATCAAATTCTATTATTTAATTAGATGTTTGATTGGATTTGCCATAATCGAGATGTGTTTCTAATGAGCTATGTCGAAATTGGACATTCATATCAACTTGCCAAAGATATACAAGAAGAGCATAATCATTTTACTATGAGTTCTATGGTATGATCTTTAATATTTATTTTTTATTATATTTTAATAATTTAAATATTTTGTTTGTAGAATGTATATGTAAACATTAATCGTATTGTGGCTGTTGCACATCGTATGATTGAATCTGGACATTATGCTTCTAATCACATAAGATCAGTTGCTCAACGGTTAGATAGAACATGGAAGCAATTTGCAGCAGGATTAGATGAAAGGACATCAGTGTTAGCATTATCTGTCCTATTCCATCATAAAGCTCAGCAGGTTATTTGATTAGAATTCTAATCTTAAAACTAAAATATTAAATTTTATGTGATAATATTTATTTTAGTATGTGGAAAATGTACCAAATTGGGATGAGGCCATAGAAAATGTTACCATACCAAATGAAATTATGGTATTGGAAAGTTCAATTCATCAACATCAAAACTTATATGAACTCATGTGTCAAGCTTATACAGAGGTATATTCAATTAATTTTTTTATTATTATATTTCCATACAAAGCTTAAACTGTTGAGATCAATATAGGTGTATAATGCGTATCAAAGCCTATTAAATGGGCTGGATACTTTGGTACAAGTCTGTGAAAGTTTTCCAACTCCTCCGAGTAATACACCATTTGTATACTATGGCAATTCTCCACAAAATAATGTATGTTCCTTACATATTGTACATTTTTAGGTGTATGATCTTTTTGCATCAATATTCCTTAATATAATTACTAAATTCTTGGTTAGAACTTGGTGGCTACTTATGCATTGGCTATGGTCTATTTATTGTATCATACAACTTTGGTTTATGGGTATTTAAAATAATTAAAATCAATTTAACTTTGATAAATCTAAAATGCATGATGGGTTTTTTTTTTTTTTTGGTTTGGGTTAGGTTCATAGCACGAGTAAGAAGCTGCTCTATCAGTTGGACCACTTGGTTCAGGTGTGTAATCAAAGTGACTTGACACCAGTCTCTGATCAACATCATAAACATGTAAGCCTATATTAACACGCATGAAACAGCTTTGTAGCTTTTTAATATTTTATTATAAATGTATATATAATTTATGAGTCTAATTTACAATTTACTAATAGTTGGATAGTGGATCTGAATCTTCAGCTAATACTACCAAGGCATTAGGAACAAATCATCAACAAGCTGCAGCTGATTATTCTGAAGGAGCAAGCCATGTGCTTGCTGTTATACACCAAATTTTAAACCACCACAGAAGTTTGGAACATAGGTGGCATTCAAAAAAGATAAGACTTCATCAAAAATTGGCATTACGATTATTTCAAGAAGATGTCAAACAAGTATTTATATTTATCAAATAATTTTTTTTTTTGTACATATTTAATTAGGAACTTAAATTCTTAGGTTCTTGACTGGTTATCTAATCACGGAGAAGTTTTTCTAAGAAAAAATACGGGCATTGGACGTACATTACAAAAAGCTCGAGTGTACCAAAAAAGCCATGAACATTTTGAAAATGTTGCTCAGGTAAAAACACCTTTGTATATTTTAACCAAATAATTTAAATTAAAAAAAAAAAATCAAAGTTTTATTTTTAAAATTATAATTAAAAATTGTTTGAATTTGTTTCATTAACCAAAATATTATTTAAATATAATATTGTATCGTGTACAAAAAAATTTGATTTAATAACCCTGTGTAAATAATATAAATATTTTTACATTTTTACATAATAGCACACTTAAATTAAAAAAATAAAAAACAAAATAATACTAATCACAAAACTTAGATAAACTGTTGAAAAAAATGGTAAACACTAGTTTCATAAATTGAAATTTAAACTCATAATCTATTTAATAGAGTCTGTTAGTCTATTTTATTGGTAAAATGAAACTTAAAAATAAATGTGTATAAAAAATTAGTGTAATTCAAATATAAACTCATGGATGGTGGTAGTATTTAAAAAAATTGTTGTTTACAGCACATGCCCAAAAAATAAATGTTAAAAGTAATTGTAATATTCAGTTATGTACACTATAAAAAAAAAAAAAGAAATATAAAGTAATGTGCTTGAAATATTTTGTTTTACATTTTTAAGGTGGCTTCAGCCACTATGGTCATTAGCCCATTGTGCATGATCTTTTATATGATAGGAATTAATTTGTATAATTCGTGTAGAAGCAGATTGTTGGAGAGAGTAGTAGTATTTTTTCAGGACAGTGTGATCCTGCTCAATTTATGTTTAGTGGCTTTGGTCGAAGAATTGATTACCCACTATAAACAAGTAGCAAATCTAGTGTGGTATTTATTTTTGTGCATTTAATGTTTAAAGTATACAGTTTTAATTTTTATATGCAGTTAATAACTGTATAATCTTATTATAATAATAATATAATATTCTTAATGATTTATTATAATGTACATAGAAGTTATATTTAATAATTTTTAATTTTACTAAATTTACTATAATTTCACATTAAATTCATACATTTATTACTTTCCATTAATATTTATATTCTATGAAAATGATCGAGATTTTATTAAGCCATTTTTGTACTTAGTACTTTTTATCTAACTTTCTATGTTTTAATTTTTTTTCTGAAATCATTAAGTAGTTATAATGTTAATGACCTAAAAAACATATAAAAGTGCCCTAAAAACATCATTTAATCACAACAAAAACCTTACAATAATAATATAAAAATGATTTATATATGAATGTTATACAAATTTCTTTAAAATCTAAAATTTGAGAATAATGCCTGCCCCCACATTGTATAAAAACTACAAAAAATTACTTTAAATATAAAAAAATACTTAAAAATGTTATAAAATGACATTTAAAAACAAAAAAATGCAAAATAAAATTAGAATAATCTGCATCAAGAGAGCATGAAACAAATTTTTAGCTAAGATAGCATGGTATAGAATCAAAGAAAAAAAATGCAAAATTCATCAACATCCTAAATCTTATAATGAGTATAAACTATTTATTGATATTATTAATATTAAGTTATTGTATAAAATATTTATCTGAATTAGTATTTTAAATTATTGTTTTTTTTACAAAATCTATAGAATCTACCTAATGATTGATATTAATTCTTTAAATGAAATTTGTTATGTATAATATATACCTCTTGGTAATTTTTTATAAAATTAAGAATGAAATCATAATTACACATTTCACTTCACGTTTATATAGAACAGAAATTATGTTAAAAGCTTTAAATTTGAGATATTTGAAGTTGTTTATGTTATTTATATAAATATATTTGATGACACTAATTACAGTGCAATATAAAAATTATTAAACCATATAATATATGGTTCTTATATTATAAGAACCATAATATTATGGAACTACCAAATTAAAGTTATGTTAAGATAGGTACATAATTGCAAAGGTGGGCATGTTAATGAAAATAATTAACATGAGTTAAGAGAACACAAGATTAATAAGTTAAAATTAAACAGTTAACAATTCATAAATTAAACTCAATTAGTTAAAATTTAATGAGGAAAAAAATATTTACTTAACTTAGTTTAAAAAAAAAAAAATTAATCTACTTTTTTTAATTAGTATGTATATACATACAAATTTACTGCTTTATTTATAAAGATCTAAATACCTTAATAATAATAAACTATTTTATTGAATTTTTTTTATCATAATATACAACAGTGGCCCTGAAGTGTTTGAAAAATTCTATGACATTGTACATCAAGGGACCACTCACTACCATATTTATTTATCTTTATAGTTAAAATTCTTTATGCATTACATTCTGTATCTATGGCCAAAATCCAATACTCAAAGGTGGGTCCTCAATTTACTAAATCAAATATGACATCTACTTTCGGTGTATTTGACTATTTTACTTTACATGATTATTTAATTTTTATATGAATATTTACGTATAAACGAAAAATTTCTACATTTTTAACTTGATAGATCCTTTTTAAATCAACTGTGAAAAGCTAAGTTATTTCAACTACCAATTAAACTAGTTAAGTTAAGAAGTTACTAAATAATTAACTTTTTAACTTAACTTTAAGTTTTTAACTAGTTAATGCCCACCTTTCCATAATTGTAATAAGACCTTACAAATATAAATTATTTTTTTTAATAATAATTTAATATAACTAGATTTCACAATTTAGGTTAAGTTTGACAATATTTTATTTAATTATTATATAATTATAATAATATAATAATATAATATTCATTATTTAATAATCATATATAACTATTATTTTTCAATTTAGGATTTTTGTTTCTCTAATATTCATTAGATTATAATTATTATTAGAAATCTATTATAAAGAATATATTGTAATATGAAATATTAAATTAATTAAACTATATTAGGAACAACGTATATACTAGAGATGTATACTATTCGATAATCCAGCACATTCAAATTATTCGATAGTTTTTCAAAATATTTGATTGTTCCGAATTATTCGAAACTATTTGGACTTTTCGATAATTGCAAATTATTCAATGATTCGATAGTTTACAACTTTTGAATTATTCAGTAAAATTTGAAATTAGCTTAGCTTACTTTTACCTTTTTATTAATGTTTATTTTATTTTGAGATACCTAATCATTAATGTGATAACTGATTACTGATAAGAATAACAATTAACAAAAATCGTTAAGGTTAACGTTTTGATTTTTTATTCGATATATTCGAATAGTTTTTCATGGAAAAACTATTCGGTCATACAAAATAATATTCGATTATAATATTCAATAGTTATGTTTACTATCGAATACTATTCGATAGTGCCCATCACTAGTATATACGTTATTGTGTTTAGTTTATCCTATTTATAAGTTATGATTTAGTAGCGTTAGTTCGGTTTAAAAGACGACACGAATTGATTTAATAATTTGTTGACACAGTTTCATTGATTTCAGCAATAATATGTCTAAACTAACGAATAAAAATTAATTTACCTCCTTTGTGTCCGTATGTTAAAAAATAAGTAACTGATAGACACGAATTTTTTTTTTTTTTTTTGGTTTTACGACCTATTGTGAAGTATATGTCGACGAATATCATATCGATACGTGAAATTCAAATTAACTTTGTTGAAAGTATTTATAGTAGTGGCAGCGTTCAAAGTTATGTGTTCCTCGTTTGAGTTCTCATATTAGTATACCACTCGTAACAATCGACGGCAAAAATTCTGACCAAACATTTTTCGTGTACTGTAGTTGTTGCTTTCAGTTGCAGTGCGCACACGTGCACAGCACGTAAAACGTACGTCCAGATTAAAATCGGAACTCAATTTGAATTTTGTCAAATAAGGAAGAAAAAATGAATAGAAAAGACAATAGTTTGTTTTTTAATCAGTTATTTCTAACGTATTAATTGAATTATTGATGTGGCCGGGTTACTTTAATCTGACTCTCATAGTATACGTAAATTAAAAGGAAAATTATGAGATTGAACAAATCATAGGTAATAGAAGAATTAATCTTTTATTACCTATGGAACAAATAGATCTTCAGATTATTTAAAGGTACGATTCCTTAGGACGCATCTGTTGATGGCGTCTGTAGACGCGGCACGATTTGAATTTTTGCGACGCGACTGAGTAGGTTAGGTTCCGTACAACTACAAAACGCAGTCGCAAGAGACGCGTGGCAAGTATATAATATATATTGTTATTATAAGACATTTTAAAATTATATAGGTAAATCAAATAAACGGTATCAAATTAACTAGTCGACGATAATCGGTCGCGCGTCTAGTGCGTTTTGACCGCCTACTAAGCGGTTGTCAGCGCGATTAGAGACGCTACAGCGGTTGTGTTGGGAATAGGTTTCATTTAAAAATAGGAAAAGCAGTTAAAATTAGAGTTGCGCTGCGTCAGCCGCAGCATCGGTCGCGTGTCTATAGACGCGTCCTAAGGAATCGCACCTTAAGAGGGACGACTATAATTTATTTATTATAAATTAATGACTAAAATACTTATGTAATATGTACATGGGATTTTTTGTCGTGTACCCCAATGTCAAATTAAATTGATTTAAAACAAAATAATGTATGATCGTTTTATAGTTTTTATTTTACGACATATATCAGTGTTTCTCAACCTATGGATCGCGACCCAAAATTGGGTCGCGATATATTTTTTATTGGTTGCGACTATCGACCAGTTACATCAGGCAGTACTATGATTATTTATAATACTATATTATCACATATTTAAATTTTTTTTTTTAGTGTTTGGGGAGGTTGGGTCGCGTTATCAACAAGCAGTAAATTTGTGGGTCGCCATTACAAAAAAGTTGAGAAACACTGCTATATACCTAATATACCTTTCTAGTTGCGATCGAGTCAACCGCTGATATTCCTTTAATTACTCGGATTTTGGGGGTGTCCAATGAGGTGATGACGACCAATGATTAACTAACGAGTGAAACTCACACATGTGGTAATTTTTTTCTTCTTAAATAATTTTTCTTGATGCGGGTGAGATCGGTGAACTCGAGCCATTGTTTTTCCAG